AATCCTATTGCCTTTCCTATTTCATTTATCTATATTTTATAATCCTAATCTATAACCTATAATGTATTACTTGTATTGATTAATTTAGATCATAACAGGATGAGGGGAAATACAAAGGAAAAGATATTTTGTGGAATCCCAGAAAAGGCAGTCTAATTTTGAATCCAGGGGAGCTCTATCTTGATAATCTCCCTAAAAGGTTCCTTTTTAAGAGGTGGACACCAGGAACAGGCTTATGATTTGGGTTCCAGAAAGTGGTCAAAAGCCTGGAGGTTCCTAGAGATTTTATTCAGGTACTTGATAGAAGGTGAAAGAATTGAGGGTAAGTAGAAGATATAGAGTAGGTGGAAATAACCTACACTCCAAGGCATACATAGGGAAGAGACATTTTTCTCACATAGGAGAGAGACTGTTTGGCTCATGCTCTGGTCACCTCTTTCCCAAAGACCTTGGATCAGACCAAGACTTTGTTTCAGGATCCAAGAGATATCAGGTGAGGGTTCCCTCTACCATCAGGCTAAGTTAGTCAGAAGCTAGAAGCAAGGGACAGAAGGACAGATAGTGGTTGACATTTGGTACTCCTGAGAGCTGCCAGGGTCAGGCTCAGGATATCAAACCTTTGTGAAGCACCAGGGAGTCACCCCAGTCTTTTGCCTTCAGTTGTCTCAAGCTTTCTCTGTCCCACTCACAAATTCTCTCCCACAGAAAGGAAACCAAAGCAAATCAGGACTGACATTTACAATGCCTAGGAAAGGGGGATTGGCCCTGATGGCCCAAGAAGCCTGTTATCTGAATCTTATAGAATGGCTATTCACTTTAATTGTTTTTAACATTGTTAAGTCTTTTTTAAAATTTGTTCTTACCAGTTATATATTACAGTAGAATGTATTTTGACATATTATACATGTAAGGAGTATAACTTCCCATTCTTCTGGTTGTACATGATGTGGAATTTCATTGGTTGTGAAGTGATTAATACACACAGGAAAGTAATGTCTGATTCATTCTACCATCTTTCCTATTCCCATTCCCCCTCCCCTCCCTTCATTCCCCTTTGTCTAATCCAAAGTACTTCTAATCTTCCCTATCCCTGCCCCCACTTATTGTGATTTAGCATCTTCATATCAGGGAAAACATTGATTGTTTGGGATTGGTCTCCAGTTCTGTTCATTTATTGGCAAATGCCATAGTTTCATTTCTCTTTATGGCAGAGTGTAAATGTACCACATTTTCTTTATCCATTCATCTGTTGAAGGGCTGATAGGCTGATTCCATAGTTTAACTATTGTGAACTGAGCTGCTGTAAACATTGATGTGGTAGCATCACTAGTATGCTGATTTTAAGTCCTTTGGGTATAAATTGAGGAGTGGGATAACTGGGTCAAATGGTGGTTCCTTTCCAAGTTTTTTTTAGGAATCTCCATACTGCTTTTCATAGTGTTTGCACCAATATGCAGTCCCACAGCAATTTATGAGTGTACCTTTCCCCCCCATATCCTGCCAACATTTATTGTTGCTTGTATTCTTTCTTTAAATTTTGGTAGTTGTAGATGGATAGCATGCCTTTATTTTATTTGTTTATTTTTATGTGGTGCTAAGAATAGAACCCAGTGCCTCACATGTGCTAGGCAAACACTCTGCCACTGAGCCACAACCCCAGCCCCATATTGCTTGTATTCTTGATGATTGCCATTCTGACTGAAGTGAGATGAAATCTCGTGATAGTTTTAATTTGCATTTTATCTAACTGCTAGAGATGTTGAACATTTTTCTGTATATTTGTTGACCTGTCATAATTCTTCTGTGAAGTGCCTGTTCAGTTCCTTTGCCCGTTTATTGATTGGGTTATTTGGTTTTGGGTGTTAAGTTTTTTGAGTTCTTTATATATCCTGGAGATTAATGATGTATCTGAGGTGCAGGTGGCAAAGATTTTCTCCCATTCTGTAGGCTTTCTCTTTTTACATTCTTGATTGTTTCCTTTGCTATGAAGAAGCTTAAGTGACTGACAGATGCCATAATTTCAGAGCAAGAGGACTAAACATTTGAATGGAGCTTAGGGCTACCAGAAAAGGCAGTGAATCATTGGTCCATTTTACTCACTCTTCCATAGATCCTGGAGGAGCCCCCAAAAGATGCAGCACTGAGCAGGACTGGGTGGGTTTTTTGTCTCATGAATTTGAAGAATGAGATCCATGGACACAAGGGTGAGAGCAAAATAACAGGAATCATAAGAGCCATAGAAAGGTAGCAGAGCCATGTGCAGCGGCGCACACCTGTAATCCCAGTGCTTCAAGAAGCTGAGGTAGGAGGATTGCGAGTTCAAAGCTAGCCTCAGCAACTTAGCGAGGCCCTAAGAAACTTAGCGAGATTCTGTTTCTAAATAAAATATTAAAAAGGGCTGGATACTGGTTCAGTGGTTAAGCAACCCTGGGTTCAATCCCCAGGAACAACAACAACAATAACAAAAAAAGCAGAATTCCCAAAGGGGGATTGGTCCCAAGAAAGAGTTGCTGATGGGTGTCTGTTTTCTATGGATTTATGTGAATCTACAGGGTGAAAGAAGCTAGTCATGACCCAATCCTGGGTAAGGAACTCCGTGTCCAAAAGCTCTTCACACACCCTTTCATCCAATCAGGTTACCATGCCTTTTTTTTTTTTTTTTGGATGGGATCCATGCACTAAGCAAGCTATGATCTCACTAACAGTTTTCCTGCTTATACAGGAATTGGCCTGACCTTGATTAGACCTGAATTTTTATGTCTGTAGTTTCTCAGCACTGCTACACAGACACTTGATCTTGGAGGGACCCAAGTTTCCTATCCGCCTGTTTTAACTCTTTGTCTTGCCCCAATAGTAAAAATCACACTGTATCTAACCAATATAAATTATAGAATAGTACTATAAAACATAAATATATTTATATTTTCTAGATAATAAGAAGAGGAAAAAGAGACGTTTTAAATTTCTTTTTCTTCTTTCTCAAACTGAAGCATCTTCTTTGGGATATACCTGACTGTAGTTGAAGAATGCTTGATGACTTTAAAATATGCACATAAGCCTGAGGCCTACATTATCTTTGGATTCCCAGTAGAGGGGATATTGTCTCTATTTACAAAGAGAAAATCAGTGTTTATTAAATCAAATCTCTCTTGTACCAGGCAGGATCATGTTAATCACCTAGTTCCCTGAATGTATATGTCTTAAATCACTATGTATATTAGATAAAATTTCCTTGAAAGACCTTATCTAGTGCAAACTTGTTTATCTGCCCAAGCAGTATAAGGAACCCAGTAAAAGGACCAATCATGTTTGGTCCTTTAGTATCACAAAGCACCAACCAATAAAGGTATGATTTTCTGATTTTGTTTGATTATTTATTATTTCTATTTCTTTGCCAAGACTTCTCATTTTTTCTTTTAATTCTGTGAACACATTAATTACATCTATTTCAAAACCTATGTCTAATAATTAATCTAAGATCAAATCTCATAAGGACCTGTTTCCTTTGTAATTTTTCTTATGGTTTCAACCTAGTCACTTTTTTATTCAATATCAGACATTAGCTTATGAGATCATTTGAGGCCTTTTGTCATCCCCGAGATTGATTCATTTTTGCTTCTGGCAGGTATTTGCAATGATTTCAAACTAAGATATCCTTGTGAAATGAAATTCTCGTTCACCCTTTTTTCTAGGGGACTGCTCTTCTGGTCTTGGCAGGAAGCCTAGGATTTTTTGTGGTTCCTTTACTGGGGGGTAGTCTCCAAACTGCAGTTTCTTTCTCCAAGTCTTATAATACTATACTGCTGGCAACCCTTCTAAATTTCTCAGACTCTCAACTGAAACTTTAGGAATGAGCCACTATCTCATGGGAAAAGCAATACCAAACACTAGCTTCCTTTCTCTCCAAGATCTGGGCTCCTCATATTCTACCTTACATATCTATGTAGCATCTCCAAATAAGTCTTTAGAAAATACCTTGTCCAGCTTGTCCAGTTGTTATTAGAAGGAAGGTTCATTGGATATAGACGTAGAATTTGTTTCTATCCCTATGAGTTATGAATCATGTCTCTTGGTTTTGTCCAGGACATCCACAGGATGCTAGAATAATTGCTATCACCTTTCAGTATCACGTTTTCTAGTTTCAATATGTTATATGGTCATCTGCGAGTAAGCCATGTTGCTCACTAGGGCTAGAGATGAAGTACTGCATTCTCATAGTATCTACAGAAGATGGAGTGGGATAACAGTAACTGATAGATGACATTCTGTCTCTTCTCACATGAGTCACTTCTTTGCCTCACCTATTTTTCAAAGGAGTCACTAGATACACACCAATTCACAGTACCCAGTAAAGGGTTTAAGGGTAAATTTCAAGAATATTTTCTCTTTCAGGATGTTTTGGTCCAAAAGACAAAACACACCTTTGGCTTTTCTTAGTATCCATGGCCACAGTCTTAGTTTTTTACCCCTGAATTAGATAAATCCCTTGTTTCTTGCTGTCTTTGATTTAGAATCTCCCTAGCACTGTTTCTAGTTAATGTAGGAATATTAAGGGCTGATGCAGCAAAGTGACTATGGATGGATTTAGCAACAACTTACTGTCTTTGCCCATTGACGGAAGGAAAATAGCAGAGGCACGTGTGAATTTGGCCCATGACACATGGTTAATTTGGATGACAGTGAGGACAAGAATGTTTATCTTAAGCTCTGACATACTGAGAAAATCCAGAATTTAAGCCCTTAGAGAAAGCACTGTATTACATGAATGTAAATAATTCCACTGCCTCTTCTATGAACTTATAGTTGTCACTTTGACTTTGCTGAGTGTGACTGAGGCAGAGACTATATTTCTGTTTTAAATTTCTAACTTATAAGAAGTTGATTGAAGAATTAGACTTTCTTTTCCATGTTTCAGCCTCATTCTAGTATTTTTTTTCTATAAAAGAAACAATCCCATGGACCCAGGAAAAATCTGTTTGTCTTTCTGAATTCATTCCTAGGCCCTGGAGAAAAGAAAGGTCGAGGTGCTTCTCATGACTGCTGATAGTGGACGAATGCTGGGAAAAGGCCGCATAAAAAATGGTACAGTTTTGGTTTCACCTTGTGTTCTCCAGTAGACAGTTCTGGAAGAGCAAGAGTCCTTCTGGTGCTTCATTATTTCCATCTCCTATGAGGAAGTTTCATGGTCTTTAGGTGAAAATGGTTGGAAATTGAGGTCAAAACTGAGTTAGCATGTTAATCAGCTTTTTGCTGCTGTGACCAAAAAAACCTGACAACCTTAGAGAAGGAAAAGCTTATTTGAGGCTCACAGTTTCAGACATTCAGTCCATGGTTGGCTGATTTCATTGCTCTGGGCCCAAGATAAGGCAGGACATGATGGATATCATGGTAGAAGAAGCAATGCTCTACTCATGGCAGCTGGGAGGCAAAGACAGAAAGAGGAAATACCCTCAAAGAAGATGAACCCTTCCAGGAGAGCCCTTAGTGATCCACCTCCTCCAACCATGCCCCACCTGCCTACAGCTGCCACTCAGTCAGTCCATTCAAACTAAGATGGACTGATTAGGTTACATCTCATAATCCAATCATTTTACCTATATTTCTGCATTAACACAAGAGCTTCAGGGGGAATACCTCTTATCTAAACTATAATAGGAAGCCAGGCCCTATCTTCCTGTTCCACCAGTTGTTACCCCCAGAGCAGCATAACACAGAACACTTACTTCATCTTCCTCAATCCCTTGGTAGTCCAGAAGGGGTTCTGACTGGGATCAGAGTAAAGGTTATTGCTGTCAAATCACTCTTAATTGAGAAACAGGGAGCAGATGAGTGTCAAAAATAGCAATGCTATGAACCTGGCCTTGGGAGCTGGTAGGGTAAATAAATTCATAAAATAAAGCAGTGGGGGTGCTGTAGATGTAGCTGAGCAATAGAGTGCTTGCCTAGCATGTGCAGAGTCCTGGGCTTAATCCCTAACACAGCCGGAAAAAAAAAATGTGGGAGGGATATAAATTACAAGGAGCAAACACAGGTTGATATGCAGGACAATGCATAAAAGTAACACACAAATGGAGATGAAAAAAAAGGATAAGGGTGTGCCTCTATGTGATAGAGTACATACTTAATATTAGCAAGGCCTTTGGCTCAATCCCAAGCATCTCCTCCAGTCCCCAAAAGAGGTTAAGTGTCCTAGAGTCAAGTTTTGGGTCTTAGGTGATTCATCTCTCTGAGATGAATTTTTTCATTCAGCCTGTCTATTCATCAGCATCACATGGTAGTTTATTTAAATTGCACTTGTTACTTTAAATTCTCTATACATGCTAAGTGAAGAGATTTCTTTAAAAGCCCTTTGTATATTGCATGTGTGGGTTATATCTTTATTGCTAGTCACCAAATGAAATGTCTGAAGCTTGTATACATAGGAGGTGCTGAACCCAGCTCTCTAGTCTATTTCTGTTAGTATGTCTTCTGCAGTTTGGGGACCCTGGTGGAGAGATTGTGACAAACTCTAGGTTCTCAAATCAAGTCACAGCAAGACTTTATGCACTGTTTCTCCTTTCCCACCACAGTGCTGGTCACTCTCCACATGAAGAATATACATAAAGGAACTTACAAAGAACTTTCTTCAATTCAGGTAAGAACATTTCAGAGATGCAAACTGATAGGGAAATTCTCAGCAGAAAACTGAGTTGGTTCAGTTAAAAGTTTAATCATTTGTGCCCTAGAATGCCTATTCTAGGTGGTTTTAGGTTCAACTGAATCAAAATCACATGCCCAAATTACCAGGTCCATACCCCACAGCTATAGAAAGTCCACTGTTACTTTTTTTTTCAGTGCATTTCTTATACTTGACTAAAAAAGTGAACATACAAAACACAGTTTTAGGGGCAGATGTAGTATTAAATGAATATAAGGAAAAAGCAAAGCTTTTGAGCCCCCTACTTTTTATTTTTTAACTACACGACAGCAGTGGAAAGGATTACAATTCTTATTACACATATAGGGCACAATTTTTCATATCTCTGTATATAAAGTATGCTCATGCCAATTTATGTCTTTATACATGTACTTTGTTGGTTTTTTGCATTACAATTCTTAATACACATATATACCACAATTTTTGTATCTCTGTATATAAAGTTTGTTGACACCCAATTCAAGTCTTCATACATGTACTTTGTATAATGATGTCCATCACATTCCACTATCCTTGCTAATCCCCTGCACCCTCCCTTTCCCTCCCACCCCTCTTCTCTATCTAGAATTCATCTATTCCTCCCATGCTCTCCCTCCCTACCCCACTATGAGTCAACCTTCTTATATCAGAGAAAACATTCCGCATTTGTTTTTTTGGGATTGGCTAACTTCACTTAGCATTATCTTCTCTCTACTATCAATGCCATCCATTTACCTTCAAATGCCATGATTTTGTTCTTTTTTAATGCGGAGTAAAATTCCATTGTATATATATGCCACGTTTTTTAATCCATTCATCCACTGAAGGACATCTAGGTTGGCTCCACAGTTTAGCTATTGTGAATTGTGCTGCTATAAACATTGATGTGGCTGTGTCCCTGTAGTATGTTGTTTTTAAGTCCTTTGGATATAGACCAAGGAGAGGGATAGCTGGATCAAATGGTGGTTCCATTCCCAGTTTTCCAAGGAATCTCATACTGCTTTCCATATTGGCTGTGCCAATTTGCAGTCCCTCCAGCAATGTATGAGTGGACCTTTTCCCCCATATCCTCGCCAATACATATTGTTGTTTGTCTTCATAATAGCTGCCATTCTGACTGGAATGAGATGATAAATTAGAGTAGTTTTGATTTGCATTTCTCTGACTGCTAGAGATGATGAGCATTTTTCCTATATTTGTTGATTGATTGTATCTCCTCTTCTGAGAAGTGTCTGTTCAGGTCCTTAGTCCATTTGTTGATTGGGTTATTTGTTTTTTCAGTGTTTAGCTTTTTGAGTTCTTTATATACCCTAGAGATTAGTGCTTTATCTAATGTGTGAGGGGTAAAAATTTGCTTCCAGGATGTAGGCTCTCTGTTCACCTCACAGATTGTTTCTTTTGCTGAGAAAAAAACTTTTTAGTTTGATTCCATCCCATTTATTGATTCTTGGTTTTAATTATTATGCTATAGGAGTCTTATTAAGGAAGCTGGGGCCTAATTCCACATTATGAAGATTAGGGCCTACTTTTTCTTCTATTAGATGCAGAGTCTCTCGTTTAATTCCTAGGTCCTTGGTCCATTTTGAGTTAAGTTTTGTGCATAATGAGAGATAGGGGTTTAATTTCATTTTTTTTTAATTTAACATTGATTTTATTTATTGCATCTTACTTAAATATCTATAATTCTATAACCATTTTTATAATTGAAATAAATTTATGTTTAAAAATAATAATACTTGACTGAAGACCATAATTTTGGAATCCTAACATGTTAATATAAAAATGGAAGTCATATCTACTCTTAGTCCATTCTTTCTTTTTCTTTACCCTTCCTTTTCACTTTCTTCACCTTTTATCTTCTTTTTTTAAAATTTTTATTGTTGGTTGTTCAAAACATTACATAGTTCTTGACATATCATATTTCACACTTTGATTCAAGTGGGTTATGAACTCCCATTTTTACCCCGTATACAGATTGCAGAATCACATCGGTTACACATCCACTGATTTACATATTGCCATACTAGTTTCTGTTGTATTCTGCTGCCTTTCCTATCCTCTACTATGCCCCCTCCCCTCCCCTCCCCTCCCCTCTTCTCTCTCTACCCCATCTACTTTAATTTCATTTTGTTGCATATAGAGCTCCAGTTTTCCCAGCACCATTTGTTGAAGAGGCTATCTTTTCTCCAGTGCATGTTTTTGGCACTTTTGTCCAATATAAGATAATTCTAATTTTGTGGTGGAAGGATCTACCTTGCTCTTGGATAGGCAGAATTGATATTATCAAAATGACCATATTACCAAAAGCACTATACAGATTCAAAACAATTCCAATCAAAATCCCAATGGCATTCCTCATAGCAATAGAAAAAGCAATCATGAAATTCATCTGGAAAAATAAGAGACCCAGAATAACTAAATCAATTCTAAGCAGGAAGAGTGAAGCATGTGGAATCACTATACCAGAACTGAAACTATACTACAGTCAATAGTAACAAAAACAGCATGGTATTGGTACCAAAACAGGCCAGTAGACCAATAATACAGAATAGAGGACACAGAGACTAACCCCTACTTTTTTGTGTCTGTTTTCCATTAAAGAGACTCTTCCCTAAATTAGACAAGGTAGAACCCACATAGTTAAAGGGTAGCAAAAACTTGAACTCGATGATGTTAGAGGTTTTAAATTTAAAAATTTAGATTAAGTACTTTTTTTTTTTGACTGTTCATTTTTGAGTCAGTTTTTTATTAGGTTCTAGGTATATATTGGTCAAACAGACACATTCCTTGCTGTGTAGAAGCTATATTTAGGTTTGTTTACTGTGTGTGGATGTTCTCTTGCTGCCTTTGTTCAAACTGATATTCTCTTAAAAAAAAAAAAGATGGACAAATCATCCAAGCGCAGTAGCACACATCTATAATCCCAGCTATGCAGGAGGCTTAGTCAGGAGGATAACAAGGTCAAGTTCAGCTTGGGAAACTTAGATCTTGTCTCAGTATATACCTCAGTAGTAGAGCATTGGTCCAGCATGTGTGAGGCACTGGGTTCAATGTTGAATTCCCAGTACTGAAAAGAAAAGAAAAGAAAAAAGATGAGCTAGTCCAGATGAGAGAGTGCTGGAAAACAGTGGGATCTCCTGGATCTCAGTGGGCTGAAACCAAAAGGCAATAGTTAGTTATACAATATTTACATTAAAATCAAAACAAAATAAAAGCAGAAAATCTTCATGGGAAAAATGCAGAAAGGAAGATATCAGTTTAACAATCTGTTATTGACACTATGTTGCATGAAAGATATTTTGGAAGTTATGTTTCACCTAAATAAAGTCCGTGACACCTACTGCCAATAGGTCTTAAAACTTAGGTTTTATTGATAGAAATGATATCATCACATTTCTTCATACTTTAAGAATACATTTGAAGCATTTGTTTTTTTGAATTTTTTTCTGCTTAGGTCATCATGTCTTAGGTTGCATTTTAACAAAGTGGAATACTTCCAGGTGACATGGTTTAGAGGTTATGTAAAGATAAACTAAAAGAACAAGGAATGAGTCTCACATTAAAGATAAGATTCATTTAATGGGCATCTTAAAAGTTTATTTTCATATTTGAAAGGGAAATTCTTTTTAGTTCCATAGAGCGAAATTAGTTTCAATGACACCAAAAATTAATGAAAAACCCATATTAGCTCATTATAAGGATTATAATTTCTAACAATCTGATTGCTCCAAAAATTAAATGAACTGCCTTAAGTAGCAAAGAATTCTTTATCATTACAATAACAAAGCTTGGTCCAATATTTAGAGAAGACCATGCCTATGTGAAGTGAGAAATAATATACTAAAAACTGGAATTTTAAAAAGCCTTTCTAATGTAAAAACTATGAGTCTCATTCTGCTTGGAGAACTATAACAAAATATCACAAATAGAGAAGCTTATAAACAACAAAATTTATTTCTCATAGTTCTGGAGGCTGGAAAATCCAAGCTCAGAATGGTGGAAGATTTGATATCTTGTGAAAGCTATTTCCTGGTTCTTATATGGCATCTTTTTCTGTGAATAGGCAAGGCAGCTCTCTAAGGCCTCTTTTCATAAGGGCACTAATCCTTTCCATGAAATCACTTACTAAAGGCCCTGCCTCTTAATACCATCACCTTTAGGGCAAAGATTTTAAGTATTTGTGGGGTTCACGAAGTGCTAAGATTATATGATTTAGGGATCTTGTGAAATTAAGAGGAGGTTGCAAGAGCTTGAACCATTTGGCCTCAGTTTAATTAGTCTTAAAATATTGAGACTATTTTGAAATTTAATAAAAAATTTTAAAAAATCTAAATATAAAGACCACCAGGCAGAAATAAAGATAAGGTCAAACCATATGAATTTGTGGTAAATCAAATTGGCAGCTCAGGTGTGAGGGTTCCAATTGAAGGGTCCCAGAGTTGGAGATTGTGATAGTAATGACAGCAGAAATTAAAAAAAAACAGATTAACTTCATAGTGCTAGAAGGAACAGAATTCAAAGGGTCAACTACAGAGTGCAGCCAGAATAGAGAGGCTAGCAAATCCCCAGGAACTGGAAAGATAAAGGAACTAGAGGGCATACTATGATGGAAAGGGAAGAGTGAGCACTTACATGTTTGAGAATAGTAGGTTTGTGGAATTCTTCTTCTCATTCATTCATTCATTCATTCATGTTGCTGGGGATTGAACCCAGGGCCTCAATAGCCAGGCAAGCACTCTACCACTAAGCTACATCCACAAAACCCCAAATGGGGAATTCTCTTTTAAGGGAATTCACCATTTTCAGTATTCATTTGTTGAACATTCAGTGCTTCCTTTGTATCAGTTATTTCCTTACTAGACCTCTACTGTGATCATTGAAGAGAATGAGAAAACTCTATTTCTAGAAGTTTTCAGATTCTATTTCTAGAATGTTCCAGAAAGAGCTATGTTGGAATGGCAATTAATTTTACTAAACCTTAAGATGACCAGTGAAATCACAAGAGGAATAACAGAACAGGAAAGTGATATGAGAATGGGAGAATAGAACTCAGAGTTTGTGAGCAGTGATAGATTGTTCTGAGTTGCAAAGAGGTGTGAGAACTGGACTTTACAATTTCCTTCTTAGCAATTCAGAGCTTCTAAGTTGTATAAACATTTTCTAAATTGTTTCTTGACTTTTCTCAGGGTCATAGTCCTATAATGATGATGGTATACACAGTGAACTCTTTTGACTCATGGGGTGTTGCCCACCACCTTCCAGACGGACATAGTGAGTATTCCTTATTTCCTTTCTCTAGAGAACATGTGATACAGATGGCACCGACCTGTTTGTTTGCTTATTTCTTCTAATTAGTGTATTTGAGATTTAGAAGATAAGACTCCTACATATTATAACTTTATAAACATCAACATAATTAAGTAGATATCTGAAGGTAAATGACCACAGAGCATCGACATGAAAGATATCATTGTAATTTAAATTTAAGTTTTAACAGTTTTCATTCTAATTATATTTACTGAGGCTATAAAAGTAATTAGAATGAGTTGTTCTAACAAGTAGGGGAATTGCATGAAGGGGAATTGGATGGAAGAAGGAAGTTATCTGGCCTCTGATTATCTGATCTTGATTTGCCAGTCCTCTCTGGAGAATTGTTGATAATCATTAAAATGGATTTCAGCTAGCCAGGTGTGGTGGCTCACATCTGTAATCCCAGTGGCTTGGGAGGCTGAGGCAGGAGGATTGCAAATTCAAAGCTAGCCTCAGCAAAAGCGAGGCACTAAGCAACTCAGTGAGACCTTGTCTCTAAATAAACTACAAAATAGGGCTGGGGATGTGGCTCAGTGATCAAGTGCCCCTGAGTTCAATCCCTGTTACCAAAATAAAATAAAATGGATTTCAAAGGTGCTATAATTTCAGACCAATCACAGTTAGAAATAAGACCTTCAGAAACAGTAAATTGGACATTTATGTACCTGAGGCAAAAAGGCACAACACCAAATATTTTATATGTGCAGTTTGTGCTAGAAAAAAATATCCTCTTAAACATGAAACCCAGAGGAAAAAAATAATAAATGACTTTGGGTTATGAAAACAAATCTGGGAATAATTCCATGAATCCTTTATTGAATGGATTGGAATGCATCTCAATCATTTCACACATTTTCTGGGTCTGAGATTATGGTGGACCTTGAACATTTTAGGATTAGGTGATTTGAATATCCATGAGGACCTATAAATTCTCTCAAATTCAATTTACTCCTCCTTTTTACCTTTTCTTCCTGCCTCTCTGCAGTGTTACTTAAGGATGTACGTGAAATGCTCAAGCTTAGGTTCTCCCTCAACTTCTACATGTTCCATGGTGGCACCAACTTTGGTTTCATGGGTGGAGCTCAACATTTGAATGGTTATTACCCTGTTGTCACCAGCTATGGCAAGTACCTGTATCTCAGAATTGTCCTCAATATTGACTACCCCCACATTGGAGACTGAAGCTTCTTAGGTTAGGCCCCCAAAGACAATCTCTGGAACTGTTTGCCTGTTTTGCCATTAACATGTTGGGGATGGAGGATTAGGGATTTGTTCTTCTTGACAGTACCAAAATTTACCTACCATGAGGATTTGGGCTCTCAGGGACTTTGCAAGCAGAGAAGTTAGTAGCCTAATCTTCTTCATTTGTTGTACAGACCCTTGTCTTAAAAGTTCCCTCCAGAGCCAGTTGCTTTGGGTATCCACTAATGTGTCTTCCCTAGTACACAAGTCTACTAAGATACCTTCCCTAGAAAAGGTGAATGAAACAAAGGAGTTCACTTAGAAATTGGATAAGAAGGAGAAACCAATAGGCACTATGGTTTGAGCCTTGGGCTCTCAACCAGGGCTTAGTGGGAGACCCATGGACGGGGGCTTTTTTGCCTCTTATTGAAAGCCCTGCAAAGCTTTTCAGATGTCTCTTAGTTTGAACAACAGGGATGTGGAATTTTCTTATCTAGTGCCCCCTATTTTTTTTTTTCTCCCAAAGCTGCTAAATTAAGGATCTTTTGCTCAGTACCAACCTCTCCTCTTTTCCTGGAGAAGGAAAATGACAATGAGCCTTTCTTGGAGAAAACAATAAAATTTTCTGTATTTTTCAGAGTATGGGGCACTGCTGAGAGAGAATGGAGATTACACGCCTGAGTATACCACATTTCAAGAGGTTTTTCGGTCTGTTATAGGTACTCTGCAACAACCTCAATATGAATGGTGACTTAGTCTTCTCAAGCAGGAAGGGAGTGAGGGACTGGGTGAACATATTTTGGAGAGAAGTTTGATTTGCTACAGTTTATTTTATCAGTAGGCACTGGGAGTATGCACAAGATATAGAGCCTGCTGCTATTTTTATTAGGTCTTTTTAGTTATATATAATGCCAGGATTCATTTTGACATAATTGTAAAAGCATGGAATATAATTTGTTCTACTTCAGGCCCTAGTATTTCCTCTTTCCCTCTCCTTCTCTCTCCCCCTGTTCTCCTCCTTCTACTTCACTGATCTTTCTGCTATTTAAAATTTTTTAATTTTAAATTTTTAAAATTAGTGTCTTGTGGATATACATGATGGTGAGATTTACTGTGGTATATTCATATATATACATAGAAAAGTTAGGTCAGATTCATTCCACTATCCTTCTCTATCCATCCCTCCACCCTTCCCTTCATTCTTTATCTACTCCACTGATCTTTCTTCTATGTTTTTAATCCTCTCCTTCTTTTGGATTAGCTTCTGCATATCAGAGAAAACATTCAACCTTTGACTTTTGGGACTGGATTATTTTTTTTAGCATGAGAGTCTCCAGTTCCATCCCTTTATTAGCAGATGCCACAACATCATTATTCTTCATGGCTGTGTAATACTCCGTTGTGTATACATGCTACATTTTCTTTATCCATTCATATGTTGAAGGCCACCTAGGTTGGGCTCCATATCTTGGCTATTGTGAATTGTGCTGCACATTGATGTGACTCTGTCACTCTAGTATGCTGATTTTAAATCTTTTGAATAAAGGTGTTCAGCACAGGACCATGTTGCTTTGGTCTTAGTTGTACATGGAATCCTCTGTTGAACTTCTAAATTTCAGATGTTCCAGGTCCTTCTCAGAGCTATTATATAGGTATGTTATATGGCCTAGTTGAAATGGGAAAGGAGGTGGGGGAATCTGCGAGCATGTGCATTTTCCATTGGACTTTAGGAGATTCTGATGAGCAGCCTGGGTTCAGCAGGTGGTATTGATGTGCCCCTTCTTCTTCCAGGGTAGCAAGGCACTTGTCTCAGAGCTTAAAGGTATGAGAGGACCCTTACTTAATCATTTCCTGCTTTGATTCTTCTGAAATTAGGAAGTTATGTCGTGACTGGGCCCTTTATTCTTGATGGCTTTGGGATAGCAGGGTATCTAGTGTCTTTGATTTGGTTTGAGGGGGTCCTGGAATGATCCAACTTTGTGTTTTCTCATTGCAGCAGCTCCTATGCCCCTCCCACTAAATTACATACCAAAGAATGCCTATAAGTCAGTGACACTATTATACTTCATGACACTATGGAACCTGCTTCCCTACCTGGACTTGGTGAGCATTTCCTGGGCATAGACACATGGAAAATATTTTGGATAAAAGAGAGAGAATTGAAATAACATGGAGTAAATGAATAAGGGAAAAAAAAGGAATCCTTAAAGGTGTTGGTTCCTTCTACCAATTTTACAATTCAGATAGGAAACCTTTCTTTGATTAGAAATCAAAGAAAAATGAGTTAGGGAAAAACTGAATACTAATTCCTATAACACTCATTGAATATTCATGTTTTGGGAACTATATTGTTAAGATGATGTTTTAGGCAACTCCCAGTCTAATGAGTAAGAAAAGTGAATGAAGAAGCGATTATAGGGTCATAGGTCACATGGAAGAGGAAATGAGGCAGCACAGTGTTGTCAAGGGAACATGCTGTGCTAAAAAGTACAAACACTGGAGTCACTGAGTTGAGTCTTTGCTCCAACATTCACTGGCTATGAGACCTTAGGGAGGTCATTTAACCTCACTCTATCTAAGTTTCCTCATCTATAAAATAAGGCTCTTAATTGTTCTTACCTCATCAGATTCTATATGGATTCAGCAGTTAATGTCTCGATTTGTGTGTATATGTGAGTGAAATTGAAAGTATGTCTTTACCACTGATCCACATCCCTAGACCTTTTAATTTTTAAAAAAAATTTGTGACGAGTTCTCATTAAGTTTCTGAGATTGAGCTTGAACTTGCAATTCTCCTGCCCCAGCTTTCCAAGTCACTGGGGTTACAGGCATATGCCACCATGCCCCACTGTGATGTGCGTTGTTTTGTGTAATTTGATGGCATTTTTAAAAAGTGGAGAGAATAGTAGGGAACCCCCATGCACCTAACACCCAGCTTCAAGTTTATCAATACAAGGCTAATCTCATTTCACCTATACTCTCCTCTTCTCCCCTTACCTTTTACAAGGTTATTTTGAAGCAGATCCCAGACTTATCCAACTCCAGCTATAAATCGTTCAATATGTATACCAAAAGATGTTTCTTTTTTTAATAAAAGCAACAAAATCATTATTATCCTTAATAATAATGACAATATTAATTCCTTAGAATTATTGATTTTCTGGGAAATGTTTAGCAACTGGCTTGGAATTAAATGCTGGTTCATAGTGTTTGCTGATTTCTGGTGGGGAAATATTCCCACCATGGTTAATTTCAGACTGCTAATATGATGATGCTGATCACAAGCTGGGAAGATACATCCATGGGTGGTTGTAACAAGCTCATACAAGCTATCTCTAACACACCACAGTTTAAAATAATAAAATAGCCAGTACTTGAATTTCTCAATTATCTTGAACTTCTTTTTTAGCATTGATTTGTTCATGTCAGCATCTATGAAGTCTATTATACATCATTTGATGTGTCTCTTTAGTCTCCTTTAATCTAAAGATTTTTTTATTTTTATTTTATTTGTTGAAAAAGTTTGATTATTTGTACTATAGAATTGCCTACGTTATGAGTTTTGTTTTGCTGATTAGATCACCACTATGTCAAGTAACACGTTTCTAGACTCATATTATCTATATCTCAGTTTGATAGGTAGTTAGATCTAAATGCTTGATGGGATTTAAGTTAAGTTTTTTTTTTTTAAAAAAATCTGTTTGCAAGTATACTTTGTAAATGGTGCTATTGTACTTTTTATGCATCGTATTCTAGGCACATAATGCTGGTTGTTTCTGGTTTCATAATTGATCAGTGGGTTCAGGAGTTGTTAGTTTCTTTTCTTCATTTTCATTTTCCCATCAACCTTCTACCCAAAGATTTTATCAACCATTGACAAATATTGCATTAAAATTTCTTGTGGTGGGAGTATTTACACCACAGAAATTGCAAACACTACAAATCAGTGTTTTTTCTTCCAGAAAGACAATTGCTAAATGTTTTCCAGAAAATCACTAAATTTAGGGAATTGTATTTATAACATTTGTGATAAATTGTATTTATTACATGTTGTGATGATGATTTTGTATTTTTTTAAGAGTTCTAATTTTTTGAGATGTTCATTGAACTATTTAAAATCCTATGCTATCTGCTTTAAAATAATACTGTAAGGGATAGGGAGGTAATAGTAAGGAATAGATGAAAGTCATGTCTTGATAAATTAAACCAATATTTCATTATAGGCCTTGAAAATGGTATTATTCTAATTCTGCAATTCCTTCTGCATTTACTCACTTGAATTCTTATAACAGAAGAACTCAATTCTTCATCAATTATCTTATTCTGAAGTGTAGTTTAAATAGAAACATCAGGACAAAAGTTCAAGTATTTTCTTTTATCAGAAAAATGATTTTTTCCTACATATCCTCCAAAGTTAGCTAGTGAGTTGTTTTTCTAATGTTCTTTGTATGATTATAAACTCATAATTTTAAAAACACATTTACCAATTTTCCACCCTATTGCATTTCTTTTTGATGCTCAAACTATCCCATCTTAGCCCAACAGGAGCCCTTCAAATTGGCTTTATATCCTCTTGATGTGATTCCCATAGCTTTTGATATCTTCTTTGCTTTTTGGTCCCTCTAGATGTTTTAGACTATATGGCTCCAGAGACCTAGAATAATCAGTATTTCTCCAAGAAGTTCATAAGGGCCATTTCTTTTTTTATTTTTTTTTTTAGTTATACATGATAGTAGAATGTATTTTGACATATCATACATACATGGAGTATAACTTTCCATTCTTTTTTTAATATATTTTAGTTGTTTACAGACCTTTGTTTTTATTTACTTATTTATATGTGGTGCTGAGAATTGAACCCAGTGCTTCACATGTGCTAGGCAAGCACTCTACCAGTGAGCTCCAACTCCAGCCCCTAACTTCCCATTCTGTGGTTGCACATGATGTGGAGTTACAGTGTTCTTGTATTGATGTATAAACATAGGGAAGTTATGTCTAATTCATTCTACTGTCTTTCCCATTTTCATCTCCTCTCCCCATAGGGCCATTTCTGTGTGCTAAGAAGTTTGAAAATTTCTCTGGAAGCTATGAGAATCCATCATAAAGCAAAGCTAGGAGTTTCTTCTGCATTTCAGAAGAATTTGATAGTTCTGTGGGGTACAGCTTAGGGTGGGACCATGCTAGAACACTTAAACCGTATAGAAGTATACTGAACTTGAGCTTGGTGATAGGTATGAAGAAGGAGGGTTAGGGAAATAAACATTTAAAGTCAGACTCTAAAGTAGGTGATGACTGGCTGATATATAGGATGTGGAGAGGGAGGAAGAAAAAGAGAGAGGACACTCTCCATGCTTTATACATTTTTGTCTGGATGGATGGTGATCCTCTTTTTTAAAGGAAAGAGAACAGGGTGTAGATATGTCATGGTGCCTACAATTTGGATAATATTGCATGGAAAACATTCATGGACCTCCAGATGGAGAAGTCTAGTAGACAGGAGGGTAAATAGCCTTGGAGCACTCTAGGTTAGTACTAGAAAAAGCAATTTTATGAAGAAGTGTGGACAATTAAAGTGTGAGCTAGAACGATCTCTCCTAAAAGATGCAAAAAGGGAAAAGAAGAGAAGGCCAACAGTAGACATAATCTGGCACAGCTGGGTAGGAATTCTGGGGACCAGAAATCTTGTCCAGACTCTACCATGAGTTAATGAGGAAGGCCCACAAATCACTCTCTCTTCTTGACGGCAGCTCTTTCATTCAAAATATAAGAATAACTCATTGTCTAGTAAATGCAAAGAAATATGAGGTTTGTTTAGTAAACAAGAAGGATAATTTATATGCTGCACATAAACATGAGTATCCTCTCATATTCCTTTTGGATTGTTCTGTTTGCGAGGCTGTGGGGGTCATTCCTTTGGAGAACTGGGCTTTGATTGGCAGTTTCTGAGATTTTTCTCTACAGCCTGAACCTTCAGCCTGTTTTTTTTTTTTTTTTTCCTGTCTTTGCGACAGCCAACCAAGTCTGTCAAGCCACTCACCATGGAACAGCTGTCTGTGAATGAAGGAAGTGGTCAATCCTATGGGTACACGCTTTATGAGACTGCCATTTCCAGTGATGGCATCCTCACCTCAAAGGGCCATGTTCAAGATCGGGGTCAGGTAAGGTGCCATGAAGGGGTTCTAGTTATGCTCATCTGTTATCACTAACAAACTGTGTTCCTGAGGGTGAATGTCTACATGGTGGGGTAAACCATTTTGACCTTCAACTGTTTCTTAACATCTGTTCCTTCCTTGAAATCTTTTATATATAGACTAGTGTGTGTCTGAGGTACACAGATACCCCTGGGAATTGTACCACTAAAACTTACAGGAGCTGATGATTTTTTTAAATTTTTTTTTCTCCTGATGGTGTTTTATAAAGAACTTACATAGTCCCTATACTTATTTTATATCAATCCTTAATATTTCCATTGCATATTACAGTTGTTGTTCTCATTTAACTCTTAAAACAGCTGAGTTATTTGTTACAAACAAGGAAACCTCAGCATGTTAGATTTCTTTTGCCATGAACGTATACATGAGAAAATGGGCTTAAAAGGGGCAAAGATTTATTTTAGTTTCAAAAGATTCAGTCCATGTTGCCTGGCTCTGTTGCTTTGTGCCTGTAGTAAGGAAGAACATCATGGCAGACACACATGGTAGAAGAAAGCTGCTCACCTTATGGTGACCAGGAGGCAAATAGAGAGGGCAGAAGAGGTAATCCCAAATGTCTTAACTTCCACTAGCTCCTATCTCCTAAATTTTCTATTACTTCCCAGTATCACCACAGATTGGGAGCCAAGACTTTAGTTAATGGGCCTTTTGGGGTACACTCCAGACCCAAACCATAATACTCAGAGAAACTAAATGACTTTCAAAAGCTGTTCAACTAGAAAGCTGCAGAACTGCAACTGAAGCCTTCATCACATGGCTTCAAGTTAAGAGCTGTTTTCTCTAAGCATTGTGAAATTTTCTTGCTGTCATACTTTTTATATCATCTTCCTCCCAGTCTTCCAGAATAGGTCAATTATAGGTCAAGGTTAGAAAATCCAAACTCTGAAGTACTCAGAAATTCAAAGCTTGTTGAGTGCCAATATGATGCTCAAAAAGTTTCAGATTTTGGATTTTTGGATTAGGTATGTCCAACTTGCACAGTCTATGAAAGTATTAACAGCAAAAAAAAAATCCAAAATTTGAAACACTTCAGGTCCTCAAGACTTCAGACAAAGGATATTCAACCTCTACTTCTATTTTGTGTCTTCAGCCTTCCCCTCCCTATCTTTAGCTACAGACCATATTTCTTACTGTTTCCTGTACATTTATCCTTACAGTGTATGTTCCATAATTTTCAAATTCATCACATCCAAAGCAAAACTCACTATCTTCCTGACTAAGCCTCATATTGGCTTATATACTCACATCCTCTCAACCTACAAATATTGTTCTCTTGACTGCTTTTCTTTATTACTTATTTTCAACTGGTCCCTGTGTGGTTCAGTATTATTCAGTTGTTCTTTTAATATACAGACTGTTATTGCATTAGACTTGTTCTTGTGTTTCACATCTCCTATTGGAATGTCAGAATATCTCTTACTATTTCAGACTGCTTGCTCTCATCCTCTGACCTCTTCCTTGCTGAACACATAGTGCTGTCAGTGTTTTCTCTCTCAGGTAAAAGTCTCATCATGGCTACTTCTCTTCTTACAGTCATCCCTTAATTCCACGATTCACCCATCACCATGCCTGTGAAGTAGCTTGGGGTCTGCTGCTGTTTAGGATCTGTCATTCCTTTCTCATTAGTTCCACAGTAGTCTGTCCACTAGTTCAGTGTCTCCATGGTTGCCACTATCATGTGTTCTGATCATTTCTTTGTGTAGTTCCTTGAGTTCCTCAATGGCCAGCTTTATTTTAACCTAGTTGAACTCCTCCCTATGGAAATATTTAGTTCAACAGTAGTTGTTCAATAAATGGTCATAAGATATATAAACCTTATAATTAAACTCCAAGATTAAAATGTGAATTATGCATTTTTTAGCATTAATATTTTTTGTTTTTAATATTTGTGAATTTTTATTGTTCTTCCTAGTCAAATCTCATTTGAAAATTTGTGGTTTAATTTAAATAATATAAAAAGCAAAATTATTTGTCCTTATTTGGTCTTATATGGCTACAGTGGATTCTTCTGATTGACTTATTAATCTAAGGCTGAACAATATGATAGGTAATAGAAAAGAAATAGATTATCTCTAAAACCAGGTAGAGTATGGCAGCAGATTAGAATTTCTAGATAAGAATCTGGTTCATCTGGCAAAACTGGGTCTATTGCAGAGTTGAACCCTTGGGGAAAGGCACTCTGACAGAACAGTTGCTGTTCCTCTAATTCTCTTGCTCTCCCTTTGCCATCATTTCCCTCACAATACTGATTTGTTATCTACTTTATTTTTCCCACTAATCTTCAGATCTTTTTGATTTTTTTCCCCCCTCTACATCCTGCAGTGGAGCTAGGGCCCATATTCCATATCGGGACACTATTGAATAGACCTCATCTCAAGCATTTCAACACTGTTCTACATTACATATAATCTGTTTTTGTGAACTTATGATCAGCTTATAGATTTCTGGGAGACAAAATTCATTATTTCTGATGTTTGTCTTTTCAAGACTGTTTCCATTTTTTTTTTTTTTTTTTGCTTATGAGGACCTAACAATACTTTCTTCTTTTTTGGCAGGTGTTTTTGGATGACAAGCACGTGGGAATCCTGGATCATTCCAAAGATGAGCTAACTATTCAGAAACATGTATATAACCAAATGCTGATTGACAAATAATTCTAGCACCTGCTAGGCCATGTACCCAACTATATGTGTGGTCTGCTCTATAATAGCACATTTTCTCCTTCACTGCCTTTTGGATTGATCCTTGCATAGGAACCCAATAGGAACAAGGGAAGGTTGTATACATCTCTAAGGTACAGATACATATGATTTGAGGGAGCAAAGCTTTTTTATTTTGAATATTTTCTGCTCAAAATACAGGTTGGTTACTGGTTTCAATAGCATCTTAGATGAAGTGTGTGGGTTCCTCTTTCCTCCCTGGAAGACTTGGCCCAGAGAGTGGGGGGATGAAAAGGAAGGGCAGGAACCCAAGGGTTTGCCTGGCTTAGAGCTGGAGATCCACAGGGTTCTGCTGGCTGTTAGTCACCCTGCCCTTGTTCTCATCTCAGCTTCAGGGGAGGCCCAGCAGGTCTGCAGAAAAGTATCTGAGTAGTATTCACTCTGGTGGGTCTGTCTTCCACAGGACCACCAGGAATACCACACTCTAAGGATCTTGGTGGAGAATCAAGGCCGACTCTCCTCTGGGAAGAGCATGAACCAGGAGAGAAAAGGTGGGCTCCAGATGCAGATGCTGAGAACTCTCAGCACTCCGGACTGAGAGCAGATGGAGACAGGCATATGGTTGGAAGAGAGCATGCTCTTTGGCTGTGAGACACCTATGTATAGAAACTGTGATGATTCCTTTGTGTTCTGTAATTACCAAGCAGAGCCAGCACTGGGCATTTTTTTTTTGGGGGGGGGGGGATTTCAAAAGTAGCTCCATCAGGAGAAAGTTATAGAGGTCTCCCTGGCCAGGGGTCCTCTCTCAGGATTTTGCCTCTTCCTTCCTAGGAGGCTAGACCTGTGTATGTCCTTCCCTGAACCCCAGAACTCCCAGGCAGAGTCACACATCTTCCTTCTACCCTTAGTGATTTGACATGCATGAATGTTCCAACGAGTCTGAAGCCCTATGCCAGCCAGACCTGGAAGGAGCTGCTGTGACCTCTGTCCAATAAATGTGGAAGATGCAGGCACCATCTAGGAGAGATATACACTTAGAAGGAAAAATGTATGTAGGATTTGGGATAGAGATGTAGCTCATGGGTAGAGTGTTTGCCTAGCATTTGTGAGGTCCTGGATTCAGTCCCTAGTACTGCAAGAAAAAAGAGAGACAGGCAGACAGACAGACAAAGGTGAAAAATTATGTGTAGGAGTTTGCGGAAACCTTACAATGGGACTGGAATCCCTGGTTATTGTCCGTGCATATCTCTTCTCCCTTCCAGCCTCCTTTATGTCCCCCTTTTTTTCAATATCCTATAGGTTTAACTGGGGATATTTATCTGAACAATTCTCCATTAAGAAAATTTACAATATACAGCCTGGAAATGAAAAGTGTATTCATAAAAAGGTAGGTGCCTGACCATTGATTCTAGGTGATTGATAAAGATGGAGAGCATGTAGATATGGAAGAAGCCTCAGAGTTCCTCCAGATGCACCTCTGAGTTTTCAGATAGGGAAATCAGAGACCAGAATGTTGAAGAAAATAATTCCATGTTTTGTAGCTGTGTGGAGGCAGTTGGATTCATGACTTACTGCATTATACATGCTGAAAGCATAGCCAGTGCCATAGAGGGGGACACCAGATTTCAGGGAAAAGACTGAAGAAAGGTATGACAATCCTATTTGACTCCCTTTTAGGAAACTCCCCAAAATCTGGAAGCTAATCACAGAGAAAGTTAAGGGCCCTGCCTTCTTCCTTGGTTACCTAAAAATCAGTGGTGATCCCAGAGACACCTTTATACAACTGGAGGTTAGTACAATTTATCCCTTGCCCATGTGTCATCCAACTACACACCCCTAAGAACCTTTTAACAAAGCTCATTTAGTGTATAGTCTCTGCCCTGTGTGAGGGAATATAAGCTCCCAAAGACCTCAGCTATTCTACAGCCATCTGGGAGATTGTCTCTCCCCCAGAGTTAAGTAGGGCAGGGTTAGAAGGTAAACAAATATGACAGAGATATGAGGAGTTACCAGCACATATTGGCTGCCACACCTGAAATTCTGCAACTCTAGCTGTTTTGAGCCTGGCATATTTTAATGAGTACCTGTTGATAAGTGGAAATTCTCTCTCCTGGCTTGGGGCAGACACAGGGAGATGAATTAGAAATTAGTGCCTCCCTGAGGCTTGGATGCTGAGTTAATCCCCTGTCAGAGACAGTATCACAGGACTCTGGATTTACCTGCCACATAAGATTTTAGTTGGTATTCCACCCTGTCTGGGTATATCTGTACTGTGATTTGGTGTGTCAATGGTGTATGAGGTGTGTGTATTTGTGTGTGTGTCTTCATCCCTTATGTCTTTACATCTAGAATTTATACCCTGAATCCTGCATTCTCATGATTTTCAGGGCTGGAATAAAGGAGTAGTATTCATCAATGGACAAAACCTAGGACGCTACTGGAGTATAGGACCCCAGGAAACTCTCTACCTTCCAGGACCCTGGCTCCATACTGGAACAAATGAGGTGAACCCACATGGTGCCCCATCTCCACCAGGCTATTTCCTTTGAGTTCTTCTGCCTTGCTTCTGAGATGAAGCTTGAATTTCATGACTGCCCCACAGGATTTTTGTTTTTGTTCTGTTTTGTTTTTTGCAGATTATCTTGTTTGAGGAATTGGAAAGTGGCATAGAGGTTGGGTTTAAAATGGAACCTCATTTAGGTATGGCAATCTCTTTGTTTATTTTTGTGGTACTGAGGACAAAACTGAGGGCCTTGTGCATGCCAGAAAAGTATTCTACCCTGAACTACATCCCTAGTCCCTCAGTATGGCATTCTGAAGGGTAATGAGCTTTTTGGATCTTTCTAGATGTGATAGAGATTTTTTAAAAGGCAGGCTGTGCATTATCTCCCAGGACCCTGAAGCCTGCCTCTGTACACAGTGGATAAGATCTTCTCTTGTACCTGTCATAGCCCCATTCATGCCCTCCTGTTTAAAGATGAACTAATCAACTCCATTCTCTGACACCCTTACCCCAACTCCCTCAGCCTCCTTTCCCAGCATTCCTACTATATTTTCAGGGTCCCTTTTCTTATTGTGATCCAATCCAAACATGCCTCTTACTTATCTTGTCTGAGATATATTGTGCTTCCTAGGGCTTTTTCTCAGGCTTCCATATTACATAATTCCAAGACACTTTTTCTGGTTGCTGTAGGCAGGGAATGTATGGACTAATTATACAAAGCCCAACTGTTGCAGATGTTCTATATTTGTGTCTAGAGAATGCCCACTTTTTGGGTCCCTAGCCTCCCTAGTGCCTTTTGTTGGTAGTTAGATCCCAGTATCCTTTGTTTTTTTTCCCCCTTTCTTTTTTATTTGCATGTTAGACATGGAACCCAGGGTCTTGTGCATGTTTGGCAGTGAGTCTACCCCTGGGCTATATCCTCAGCCCCAGATATACTTTCGGCAAACCACTCTCCCTTCAGTAGAGTCTTTGTGGACCTAATAATCAAGCTGTGCTTCCTCCCCATCGGTCACATGTGACATACAATAGACCAACCAGATTTTCTTTTCCAGGATATTGAGTCATAAGTGGTGTGTAGTAAATGGACTGAGCTGTCATGTGAGCAGTGGGGCTGTGAGTAACCCATCAATCCTGGCACTTTGGTCACCACAACCACCCTGGCTTCTCGATTCAGCTCCAACTGCCTGGAGTCCACCATCCACTTCCTGATCTGCCAGCATACCACTCTTCTGGCTTAAGTTATCCCACCTGTTTCTCATGTTTACTACAAAATAAGTCTACCCAGTGCACACCATTTGTCATGCTGCCACCTTAAAAGCTATAGTGACCACCAAATAAAATGTTGAAAAAAATGAGAAGATACTCAGAATACTTGATCTCATAAGTATAAATTGAAAGCAACAAGTCAAATAAAATACAAATGCATGCAGGAAATGACAGGCAATTCATATATGCTTTGTAAGTTTTAAATGCACTGTTTTCCTTTTATTGATCTTTCCATACCATTGGTATTCCATGCTCAGGTAAAAACCAGTTGTTCTTAGAGGCTGTCAACCTCTCCTTACCACTGTTAGTACCTGACTCAATGTCCTTTTTGATTCCCTGCTCTTACTCTGGGTTCTCCTATGGATGGTTCCAACCCTTCTCAGCCATAACAAAGGGCAGAGAGAAGTGTCTGAGCTCCTGGAGTGAATCAGCTTGGCCCAGTACAGGTAGAGGGTAGACTTACAGAGTTTTGTTTTTTCAAGCCATTACAAATCCAGCATGGTGGGATAGCTGACAGGCTGTCAGGGCAGCTTGCAAAAGGTGAGTTGGCATGATATTAAGGGCTACCGAGGGGACTACCAAGCCAAGACAAAAAGGAATCTCAGCCAGATCTCGGAAGCTCCCTGACCTCAAATGAGGGCCAGGGTCAGGCCAGTTGCACAGAGGCCACTAGACCCTAGTCAGCCCAAAAGCTTAAGATCATGCAAAACCCCTTTTAACCTATATCTGTAAATGTTAGTGGCCAGCTGTACTTATATAAAAAAAGTAAGGAGCTACTTGCTTAGGTGTTTCCTTCATGTTCCATGCTGACTCCATTCTCTCATCTGAAGCCCATTAAGAAAGCAGAACAAATCTTAATTCCCTCTGTTTCTTTCTTCTCCCCTCCTTTACTGAGCGCCCCTAAGTATCGTGTTTCCCCATATCATAATCTTTTACCTTAACACTACGGCACACCCTCACAGTCACCTAGAAGGCTTGTTAAAACATTGATTTCTGGTCCTCATCCCTGGAATTTGATTTGGTTGGTATGGGGTGGGGGCCTGAGGATTTGTATTTCTAACACATTTGCAGTGATTCTCATATTGCTGGTCTGTAGGAGGTCACATTTTGACAAACTTTGCCATAAAGCAGGCTCTCAACTACATAGTCTGTGAGGCCAGATACTTCTTTGTGATGGGGACTGACCTAATCATGGTAGGATGTTTAGCAGGCTCCCTAGTCTCTCTACTTATTACATGCTAGAATCACCCACCCCCGAGTTGTGATAATCCAAAATGTCTCATCAGATATCATTAAGTATCCTTGGGGGATCAAAACTCCTCCAGGTGTCCACACTGCTGAGGGGCATAACTGACTGGGCTAGAAATGACACTTTTGCTACTCTATTGGAAAGCACTGGAACTGGGGCCTTAGAGATCAACCCTAAATTTATAAAAGGTAGAAAGGAATTTGGGAAGTTATCTTTTGGGACAATGTCTATCTGGGACCCCAGGTCTATTCTGCACAACACTAAGTTCTAAATATCAGAAACAGTCTATTATTTTTCTCTTGTATTACTTTTGAAACAAATTCTTATATTCTCAAAGATAAATGGGTTCCTTAGGTGAATTGGGGTAAAGATTATGCCCGGGGGAGGCTAAAGATAAAAATATATTACTCCCTTTAACACCTATAAGCAAGCAAACAAGACATGGGATGATGCACAAATTATATACATAAAAGGGAATAGCTCATCACTAGTGCCAGGCCTTCTGTCCTCCATCTTCATGACCACCAAGGGTTCTAGGCAATGTGGAGAGCTCTCAGACCTGCCATGCACTCTCATCCAAGTTATTCACTGGAAGAAAGTTTAAGGGGGAGAAGATTGTATGGCAGTGGTGATTCTTCACCAATAACCAAAAGTTAGCATCTTTGGTGAAATACTGGATCAAATTATAGAAAATAGTTTTTCTCCCCAAGTTAGGTGAAGTGTGTTTGCCCTTTCATTGTGTCTTTATGTTCTATCTTGATTTTAGGCATATAGGAGATGCACAAATAAGCTAAATTTAATTGCATTGAATATTCCCACCTAGATTCTGTAAAAAAAAAAATTGAACAGGGATACTAAATATCAATTTTATTTTTATTTTGTGAGGGTGGGGATTGAACCCAGGGTCTCACACATACTGGTAAGTACTTATCATTGAGCTATAACTCCTTAAAATTTGTGCTCCTCCTACCTCAGCCTCCTGAGTTACAGGGATTACAGCTGAATGTCACTGAGCCTGGCCTCACCATCCCTTTTTTTCCATATTTTAAAAAATTTTGCATTGTAATTGTACATATTGCTGGGATTTGTTGCTGCATAATTCTACATGTACTCAATATAATAATATAATTTGGCCAATATCATTCCCCAGCTCACCTCCTTTTAACATTTATTTATTTATACTAGGGATTGAATCCAGGAACACTTCAACCACTGAGCCACATCCCCAATCCTTCTATTTTTTTTTTTTTTTGAGACAATGTCTCACTAAATTGCTTAGGACCTCACTAAATTGTGGAGGCTATCTTTGAACTTGCTATCCTCCTGCCTCGTCTCTCAAGTTGCTGGGATTACAGGCATGTACCCTCATGCCCAGCCTCATCCTCCCTTTTTAAAGCAAGTTAAATTTATTTTGTTTTTTGAATTTTTTCTTTTATTTAATTTTTTTCTTGGTGCATTATAATTATACATAATAGTTAGATTCATTGTTGCATATTTATACATGCATACAATGTAACAGTATATTTGGATCAGTTTTGTTCTCCAGTACCTTTCCTTTCCCTGATCCCCTTCCTCTATTCTATTGATCTCCTGTCTAGTATCATAAGATTCCCAATCCCAACCTTTTTTTCTCTCTACTTTCTTTCTACATATGAGAAAAAACATATGACCCTTGACTTTCTGAGTCTGACTTATCTTATTTACCATGATGTTCTCTACTCACATCCATTTGCTTGCAAATGACATGGTTTCATTCTTCAAATAAAAGTCAATTGTGTATATATACCACATTTCTTTATCCATTTATACATGGATGGACACCCGGGTTGGGGCAAACTATATGGAAAATACAAATTGTCGTTGCTTTTGGCACATGCATAAAAGGAGAGAAAATGATTGACACAGGGGACTGCGAGGCTGGCTGCAGCCACTCTGCAGACTTTAGATGATACCTTAATCTCAATCCCCATGCCAGCATGGCACCACTGGGGGCAAGTTTCAGACACTCTGCCACCTGAAGTCCAGTCAGTAGTCGACTTGCCATCCTGACTTGCTCACCAACATGTGGATGAGCAAGTGTCTCATTTGTTTTGTCTGACTAGGAGAAATCCTGAGTGTAGTCCTCTCATTTTGAAGAGACAGCAAAACAGACCCAATAGAGAAAACTTGTTCTCTGGAGAAAGAAACGTGGATTCACATGTCACCTAACCATCAGTATCATCCTCTAAAGTCATTTTAGTAGCTTAGTCCAGAGATGGGGTGACACACTGTTGCTGACTTGCAGCAATAATCAGAGGAAGGCTCCTCAGAGAGATGAGGCTTGCTGCATTGCTTCTACTTTCCAGATGTCAGTAGCACCTAGGCCTCCAGTTGCAACAACCCAAAATGATTCCAGGCATCACCAAATGTCTTCTGGGGGTAGAAATTCCTCTAGGTGAGAGCACACTACCATGGGGCATTTCTGTTTCTCCCAATCAGAAATGACACTTTTCTAGGCTGGGTGTATATCTCATAGATTGTGGGCTTAGCATGCTCAAAGCCCTAGTCTACACAGGAATACACAAAAGAAATGACACTCTTTCTACCCCGTAGGAAAACACTAGAACTGGGGCCTCATGTATCAACCCTTAATGAATAAAAGACAAATATGAAAGGATTTGGGAAATCCTGTTTCAAGATGATGGTGAATCTGTGGCTCCATTTTTCCTCTGTATAATTCTAGTTCTGAATAGACAAGGCTGAGGTACATCTCTGAAGCTGGTGATGTGCCTCTTGCAGTAAGAATTTTTCCATCCAAAAGCATTGAATTTCCTCTTGTTATGATTTGAATGTGTATTTTTTCTCCCAAGGGCCAATGTATTGGAGACTGGGTCCCCAAGGTGGTAGTGTTTGAAGATGATGGAACCTTTAAGAAGTGGACCTAGTGGGGGTTGTTAGGGTCATTGAAGATGTACTCTTGGAAGGAATTAATGTAGCTTTCAAGGGACCCCTTGAGCTCTCAGAATAGTGAGTTATAAAAATGAATGCAACCCCTAAATCACTCTCTGGCTTCCTGTTTTAAGACACAATCTCTATCCTCACATGGGCTCCTGCCACCATTGTGATATCATCTGTTGTTAGGAGACTGAATAAATGGGACTTTCCCAGTCTTGAAATTTAAGCCTCCAAAATTATGATCTAAATGAACATTTTTTTTCTTTTCAAAATTAGCTGGCCTCAGGTATTTTGTTACAGCAGTGGAAAATGAACTAACAACCTCTTGTTTACTATATAGTTGAGATTTTTATTTAGCTTTAATGAAATCCATGAAAGAAAAGAAAAGAAAACCCAGTTTTTGGAAAGGAGATTAGATTAAATAATATACTCCAAGTGTATTAGAGCAGAGTTTGTAAAGGTCGGGCGAGCGTCGGAGGAAGAGACCACCAAGAGACTGTCTCATGCAACAGCAAGGGGTTTATTGGGGGTCCAGCATGCAGGGGCTCAGAGCTCACTTGAATAGAGCAAAGAGCCCCGAGAACAGTTTAAGCAGAGCTTATATACTTTCCTTGGAGAGGGCAGGGAGGGAAGTTCATTGATGGGTCAGGGCGAGTGGGCGGTTTGCGTGCAACCGGGTAAGGGAATACATTCTGCAGTTTGGCAGTTGGGGACAGCACATTCTGGGAACAAGATTAGCAAACAGTTCTCAAGATTATTAACCTTTCAAGTTAAGAAAGAGCCTAGTGCTATGGAGCTGTCTATGGCTGAAGCTTCTCACTTTCGGTGTGTATTACAATCATCTGGAGAGCTAATAACAAATGGAGAGGTCCAGGCTAGTGGAAGTAGCATGAGGCC